AAATCTCATCCTTTATCTATGTTAACAAATTTTTGAAAGAAACTAATTCCCTTATCTACATTAAAAATTTTGTGAAAAAAAAAAAAGTAAGAGATTTATTATCTCTTACTTGTATTACTTACCTCTTGGAAGCCCTTTTGGCTGGAAAAGAGATTTATCATCTCCATCTTTGAATGGTAAACAATTTTGTTTTACCTGAGATTGACTTGCTCGAAGAGGCCGATTTTAATTGCCCGATAAAATCAGTGACACCCGAAGAAAGGAATTAAAAAACCAGTGATCTCCGGCTTTTTCCGAAGAAGTGGAAAGCCTAGCTCTCTGTGATTGGTTTGAGTAGAAGAAAAAAGAAAGTGTAAAATACTTTTTCACATCCGAACTATCATAAGTTTTGGCACATCACTATATAAATTATTTTTTTTTTACAAATCACCGTATGAATTATATGGGGTTGTCAATATGCCCCTTAAACCAGATATAAAAGTGGTTTAGGGGACAAACCCGTAATAGTTCATATAGTGGTTTGTAAAAGTATTCAGGGGCATATATGGTGACCAAACAACTTTTTCAGTCAAAACCACTTTTATACTTGGTTTAAGTGGCACATTAACAAACCCCTATAATTCATATGAGGGTGATAGTTCCGATGAGAAAAAATATTTTACCAAAAAAAATACCGACGAAAGGGGATGCGATGCGGCTGCGCTCTCTATTCTTATTTCCCTTCTATCCCTCTACATCTTTATAAACGAGAGACCTACGCGCATTGTTTTCATTTTTGGGCCGGTGTTGGGCCTATTTTCTCATATCATTCTGCATCTTAATTAATTAAAGCCCAACATGGTAAATTTAATTAATATATAAACTCGTCCTTGGTTCATCTTTCTCCATGTATCCATATATATATGTATGTATATGTATATATATATTAGTGGACTCCAATTGTGCACGCACAATCAACTCAACTTTAATATATAATTATTAAATATTTATTGCTTTTTCGTCGACCCTAAAAGAAAACTGATGCTTAAAAATGGGTCCAAACTTCCACACAAATTTGCCCGACTCGAATTGTACATATACATACATTTGCCAACATTTTTAAAAGTAAATTGAAATTACTTTATATGAATCCATAATAAAAGTAGAAGCCCCACAACACAACACGATTAAATATCCAACAATCAAAATAATTGTCAAAAGAAAGTGTTTATTTACCATAATATCCTAGAAATTGCGTACAAAATCATGAGATTATTATCATTGACCTAATAATCTACCCAACATAGCAACATAAAGTTGCATAAAATTTGAACCTTGAAAGATCCATAACAGTATGAGCATAAACTCGCAGACTGGTTTTCATTTTTTTCGTTTATACATTCTCGGCATCAGTGACATTACATAATTTTCTTTCCAACGGCCGGTAAGCAAGGCATGTTTATGCAGGAGCAAATTTTCCTGTGCACTTTCCAATCTCATACCTTGCCGGGCTGCCGCGGCACCTTACAGCCCAATTCCTCCAACGGATGCTTACTGTGCTTCGGTTAAGGGCTCTAGCCAACCCTGTCTTTGCGTGCTCGTAAATGAGCCTCCGATTTCCAGTGTCGACTGGGCCATGGCCATTCACCTGCCCGAGAAGTGTACTGCAAACTTCGAACCATGTAAAACTATAGGAAATAAAACTATAAATTCCACCTTTTCAGTTTAATTTGCAAGATATAGTCTAACAACTTAATTGTGAAAAGGATTGGTTATCTTCCAAAACTACAAGTACCACCCCACGTTTGTTTCTTTGCGAGATTATTCGTAAATCATAAACAATAATCGGGTTTTTGGAACTCCAAAGGTCGGTTTTCGTACATCAGTCACATAATATTCATGTTGTTTTGTGCAGGTGAAATTGCTAAATGAGGAGAACCAGGCAAAGGGTGAATTGCAGATGGGTCATGATGGAGTATGAGCTGATACTTGGTTATTCACTGTGATCAAATTAGTCTACAATAAGCAAAAAACTCAGCGATTGAATTTCAGATAAGTTGCAGCTTAAGCGTATAAGTTGTCACCAGTCACTCAGAGTCCCGACACCCGCCACCATATTCCATACATATATAGTACAAAACCAATCATCAACAAAAGAGTGTTGATGCAAAAACAGAGTAAAGTACCACTTATAATTACATCAGCACAAAGCTACAGAATTTAATATCAGCCAAGGGCAAGAATCACGCAAAGTTCCTTCAGCCAGCCCATCTTCGAAACTTACAAGCACCAGAAAATGAATACAGGAAACCACAATTTGATCAACTCTCATTGGACAAAATGATACTTTCAACAACAGAGAACTCATCATCATACATCATTCACATCAAAACTCAACCATTGGTGAACACAAAATTTGAAGTGAAGAACAACAAATTTGAAGAACTATAGCAATTTAATTCGTGAAGTATTCAGCAAATGTTAAGATGGTGATAATATATTTTTGTATTTATAGCACTGATATAAACAAATAGGATAAATATATGAGTCTAAAATTAAATACAAAAGTTATTTCATAATTAATTAATTTAATTTTTAATTTTAACTAGTACGTACCACATACATAGATATTAAATGAGTTATTTTTACAGTTTTGTCCGTCTAAAAAGTAATAAGGTTATTATCTATTTTCTACCTCTTTTAATCAATGTTAAGTCTAAAAAAACAATACAATTATAAGCTTTTTTCCACATCTTTTAACCAACATTTTTTTTTAGCTAGAACATTAAATATGTGCACGTTAGAGCTAGCTTGTAAAATAATTAATATATTATCTCAGTAAATCATTTAACAAAAATTTAATTTTAGCATATAAATTTATCCATTGATATAAGATAAAGTAACATTTTTACTTATCCTTGTTCACTATATAATATTTTAATTATTATTTTATTATACAGTATAAAGTAATACTGTTAAATAGTATAGTATAATTATTATAAAATTATATGAATTATTTTTTTTACAATATGGATTTAATATCTTTTTATGATTTGATAATATAACTATAACATATTCTTAATGATATAAAAATATGAGATACGGATTTACATAATTTTATGGATTTATTCCTTAATGTTAAGATATTGAATTAGGTAATATATGATTCACTAATTTGTAATTTGTCTCTTTCTATATTGAAAATAATCATGCATAGAGATAACATTTATATATAAATTCATTCATTTAAGGAATCCTTTTTAAATTGGTACCAATGTTGAATACAACCCGATTCTTGTAACTAAAATGAGAACAAATTTTGAATCAAATTTTCACTTCAAAACCACACGTAAAGATATTGAATTAGGTAATATATGATTCACTAATTTGTAATTTGTCTCTTTCTATATTGAAAATAATCATGTATAGAGATAATAATTATCTATAAATTCATTCATTTAAGGAATCATTTTTAAATTGGTCTCAATGTTGAATACAACCCGATTTTTTGTAACTAAAATGAGAACAAATTTTGAATAAAATTTTCACTTCAAAACCGCACGTAAATTTGCAGATTTTTAACAATGAATTCAACAAAACCCATAATTTTAGGGGCATTTAATGCTACCCTATTTTATGATTTAAAAGATTTAAAAACTTTCTAAATATGGTGTGAAATTAATTATGAGTTGACTTTTCTTCTTGCTAATTCTAGAAAATGAGATGACTTTTATACAAGTATAAATAATACTAGTAAGGATAAAATAGATTAATAAAATACAAAAATTATTTCATAATGAATTAATTTATTTTTTAATTTTGATAATGGTAAAAGTAAAATAGATTTTTAGCATCGGACTTAATCTCTCGTATGTAGAAGACCTATTACTATTACCTTGTTTGTTTTCTATTTCTAGATGGAGACCATAAATCTGTTTAGTTCTTTTTTAAATTAGATATGCATTACAATATGTAGATAAAAATTTGAGTCGAACAGGATCAGGTATTTTTTTTTACTAGTGTGGTACCCGTGCGATGCACGGTGGGCGCATTACTTAAAACATATTGAAATACCTATTTAAATGTAATTGATTAAATTTAACACATCTAATTATGCAAACATAATTAAAAAAAAAAAGAATCATATATTATTAAAAACTTCTCTGTACACAACATTATTTGTTTGATTGGGAGGCGACTCATCTTCACCACATATTAGAATTTTCAAACCCTTTCTGTTGGTGATGCGAGAAACAGCAACATATAACTGACCATGACTGAAAACTGGTTTCTTCAAGAATAAACCAACGTGGGATAACGATTGACCCTGGCTCTTGCTAATAGTCATTGCATAAGAGACCACGATTGGGAACTGCCTTCGTTGAAACTTAAAAGGTATTCGTGCATCCGAAGGAGTTATCGTCATTCGAGGTACCAACACTTTTTCCCCTGCATGGTCCCCCGTAAGTATCCTACATTCTAGGACATGCTTGGAGAGTCTGGTTATAACCAAACGTGTCCCATTGCACAATCCCATAGAATGATCCATGTTTCGCAACAGCATAACCGGAGTTCCCACCTTCAAATTCAACTCATGATTTGGCGTACCAGAACATTTGAGAGAATTTAAGAACTCAGGAGTGTGGATTTCTGACAAGAAGTCAGAACTCTGGTCGGATTTACACGTACTGTCGGAGCTCAAATATGCACGACCTTCTGTTAGATTCAACGACGACATGTATTGGTTAATAGATTCAACCATCTCCAACGTAGGTGCAAGTATGGCTTTGTCCTTCAGATAACTTGGATCATCTGTTGCATTCTTGAACATTGGATACGTGTTCTCAACAATTGCTGCAATGGGATCATCGGACGGAGCTATTAACAGATCATCTGGGATTTCAATGGAGGCACAACCATCGTTATAACCTCCAATAGTACCATCTCCGATG